GGGAGCCAGGAACACTGGACAGGGACAGAGCCAGGAACACAGGACAGGGACAGAGACACAGAGACAGGAACACTGGACAGGGACAGAGACACAGACAGAGAGCCAGGAACACTGGACAGGGACAGAGACACAGAGGCGGAGAGCCAGGAACACTGGACAGGGACAGAGACACAGAGACGGAGAGCCAGGAACACAGGACAGGGACAGAGACACAGAGACAGGAACACTGGACAGGGACAGAGACACAGAGACGGGGAGCCATGAACACTGGACAGGGACAGAGACACAGAGACGGAGAGCCAGGAACACTGGACAGGGACAGAGACACAGAGATGGGGAGCCAGGAACACTGGACAGGGACAGAGACACAGGACAGGGAGCCAGGAACACTGGGACAGGGACAGAGACTGAGAGCAAGAGACAATCCCAGAGGGAGACACAGACATACACATTCACCCAGGCCCAGAGAGAAATCAAGACTTGAAGAGCAGCAGAGAGAGACAGCAGGCCTCCCCGTACACCACCGGGTCCCCGGCACTGAATACAAAGTTTGTGTAATGAAGCAGAGTGACACAGTCAGAAACCCAGGGATCCGAGTGGAGTCTCAGCGGGCTCACGGGACCCACCGAGGCACCTAGTGGGGAGGAAGCCCAGCCGGGTGACAGAAGGAGGTGGGGGCAGGGCACCGCTCAGAGGATGCGCCCTCCCTCCAGCCAGCCCCCGGAGTGGGTGTGCGCACGTGTGTCGGGGGTGGGGAGGGCATTTGTCCCCAGTCTCAGGGAGGGGGGGCGCCTTTAAACTGAAACCCCGCCCCTCGGTCGTCATGGCAACGCCTCCCCCCAGCCGGGGCTCCCACATTTCAGCAGGTGCCTGAGCTGGAGCTCCCGCCGCCGCTGCCGCCGCCCTTGCCTCCGGCTCCTCGGCGCCCCTGCCCTCGGCTCTCCGCCCTGCCCGCCCGCTCCCCCTGGCGGAGCCGGCGCGCCCCGGGGTGCCGCTCCCCGCCCTGCGCTCCGCGCCTGGAGGTGCCTCGCCCCTCTCCTTCCCTCCTCGCAATCTCCCCGTGGCTCAGTGCTCTCCCGAGTCTCCGGCTCCTCGCCCTTCCACCTGTTTCCCCAGAAAGGCAGGATCCTGGTCCCTGCTACGTTCCTGGGGCCATGGCAGGCCTGGGCCCCGGCGGAGGCGATTCAGAGGGGGGACCCCGGCCCCTGTTTTGCAGAAAGGGGGCTCTGAGGCAGAAGGTGGTCCACGAAGTCAAGAGCCACAAGTTCACCGCCCGCTTCTTCAAGCAGCCAACCTTCTGCAGCCACTGCACCGACTTCATCTGGTGAGGGAAGGGGCTGGGGGCCTGAGGAGGGAGGGAACGAGGGATGGAGACTCCTGTCACCCCAGACCCCTGAGGGTTGGGGAAGGAGAGGGCTGCAGCCCTGGCTCCTGGTCCTAGGGTAGGAAGGGGCTGGGGACCCAGAACCCTGAGTCTGAGGGAGGAGGGCCTGGGGGCCCAGATTCCTGGGTCTGAGAGCGGAGGGGCTGGGGGCCTGGACTCCTGGGTCTGAGGGAGGAGGGAACTAGGGGGTCTGGACTCCTGGGCCTGAGGGAGGAGGCTGGGGGCCTGGACTCCTGGGTCTGAGGGAGGAGGGGCTGGGGGTCTGGACTTCTGGATCTGAGGGAGAGGAGGGGCTGGGGGTCTGGACTCCTGGGTCTGAGGGAGGA